CCCCCCCCACTCCCCCCCACTCCCCCACTCCCTCCCACTCCCCCCCACTCCCCCCCCCACTCCCCCCCCCACTTCCCCCCCACTCCCGCCGGCAGTTCAACGCCTTCTTCTACACCCCGTGTCTACGGACACGCAGGAGATGTACTACTCCACGAAGCGACAACAGTTCCTGATCGACCAGGGCTACTCCTTCAAGGTGACGACCGGGCTGGGGGGATGTTCGTTGACATATGTTTCTCTTAGTAACAGTAGTAACAGTAGTAGCAGTAGTAGCAGTAGTAACAGTAGTAGCAGTTGTTATTCCTTGTTTAATGCCGTGTTGTTGGCCCCGTGGGCATTGCAGAGGCTGGCCTCGGCGAGGTGTCATATGGCTGTAGTATTAGTAGCGTGAGAGGGAGAGAAAGAGTATATAGCGGTAAGACTGGGGTAAGACCACCTGCACCCCCAACCGCAACAGGTGGTGACCAACCTGCTGGACGCGGCTGCGGGTTCTGCGGGCCTTATGTATTCCGATAAGTCCTCCCAGCTGGACCTGCTGTCCCGGGTGCTGTCTGCGGGTATGGAGGAGGCCGGGGTGGAGACGCTGCGAGACGAGGACGCGGAGGGGCTGGCGGCGGCGGCGGGCCAGAGGCCGGCGGCGCGGCGCCGAGTGGGCGACATGGCGGCGCTCACTGGCGCCTCGGGGATACGCTACCTGGAGTTTGCGTCGGGAGGGGTTGGCCGTGGGGGTGGAGGGGGTGGTGGTCGGGGTGGCCGGGCGGGATACCAGGGTGCTAAGGCGCAGTCGTGGGCCCGCAAGCTGGGCATTGCGGCCAAGCGTTGAGACCGCAGCTTGGGTGGTGTATGATGCAGAAGGATGTAGTAGACATGGCTTTGGTTTTATTGGTTAGTCACCACCACAGGAATAACTGGATAAGTTGTATCCTATTGAGGCTACATGCAGACTTAGGTCGGGTAGGTGTGAAGGTTTGTTGCCTAGGCAGGCGGTGGTAGGTCAGGTCAAATGGTTAGTAGGATGTCTGCACATTTGCACAGGTGCTGAGAGTTTTTGAATTTCTGCTGGCTGTCCAGGCCCTTGGAGACTGCGCTTTCTCTCTCGTATTGTTTAGTAATTCGAATAACTTTTGGGCTGGTTTTTCGCTTTTCCGCAGGTTTTTCGTTTTCCTGGCTGTCTGTCTGTCTGGCGGGGATTCTTATTGTTGGGGTGCTTATGTCTGAAGTGGCGGAAGAGGAGGTGGTTGTGAGGTGGTTCAACGTGACCCTTCTGTTGCCGGCTTGTGGTAGTGTGGTGCTGCTGCATGACAGGATGAGAGGGTTACACGCTGGCGGGTTACTTGCTGACGGGTGGCAGCGGGTGGCCAGGATGATTACCTGGTGGTAGGAGCTAAGGTTCTTGTCCTCTGCCGTTACATCGTGGTTACACTAAACCGCCTCAGCAGCGTTGCCACCAGCAGCAGCGAACCTAGCCAAACTTCGTCGAACAGCTCGCAAACAAAACCCGTTGAAAACCTCCATTCATTACAAAGAACGAATTACACACACACACACACGTACACACACATACACCGTGATCATCTTGGTCGTCCCGCTGACCGGCTCGATGGCCCCAGGCTAACTTCCCTGTCTCGAAAATCCCCCATATTTATATTGGGCAAGTGGCCGGCCGTGACACTCAGGCTCAAACCACCGAAGTCGCCTTAAGTTAGCCTTGTGAGGCTTCAGATGCCATTGTCCGATTGTAAATGTGATATTAACGTATGTTTATATAAAATTGCTACCGGGCCTTCACTGCCGACCTTGGATTGGCACTGCGGGGGTGTTACTGAGTGCTGGATGAGCAAGGTCCTAGGTTTCCTTAAGAGTTTGGGAGCTGAGCCCCCAGCCGGGCTGCGTGGTGACGACCTCATAGCGCATTACGCCACCGTTAGGTTGCCAGTGGGAAGGAAGCTTACTAAAGAGTTAGCTAGGCGTCTCGTCGCCCGGTGGGAGTGCCCGGATACCCTAGGTAATCCACGCACCATGAAGTGAGGAAGTACCGGCGTCAAGGCATGTCGCTATCTGAACTGGATGGGGGGCCCGCTTAGGGGCACGCGGCATAAGTGGCTGGCCCACGCTGAAACCGCCATGCTCCAACGTTTGCATCCAGTGCTTATACGTTTCTGGTTAGGCTGTTGAGAGTTAGAGATTAACCGACCTAACGGCCGTGAGTGCACAGCGCGCACCTGCAGGCTTTGCGACTGCGGGGCGGTTGAAGATTAAATTTACGTTTTTACGGAATGCTCGGTCTTACACAATTACACGGGCTAAATATGAACATGACCTCGTGTTTCAAGGGTGCGACATGCGCACGATTATGACCGAGGCCCCACCCCTGGTGCACTAGCCAGGTTCCTCTCGGAAGTCTGGGAGACCCGGAACGTTGCTCTAAGGCGCTGCGTGCTCAAGCGGACGAGGGTCTCAGAAGGACGATGATGGTCCACCACGTAACCGCACTAAAAACGATTTACCGTCCATTGCAGCACTGCCGGGAAGGTGCGTGGATTACCTAGGGTATCCGGGCACTCCCACCGGGCGACGAGTCGCCTAGCTAACTCTTTAGTAAGCTTCCTTCCCACTGGCAACCTAACGGTGGCGTAATGCGCTATGAGTTCGTCACCACGCAGCCCGGCTGGGGGCTCAGCTCCCAAACTCTTGAGGAAAGCTAGGACCTTGCTCGTCCAGCACTCAGTAACACCCCCGCCGTGCCAATTCAAGGTCGGCAATGAAGGCCCGGTGGCACAGTGTCCCCGGCCTCTAAACAGTTGAGTTCCAGAACCTTAGCACAAGATTGGCCCAATGGAACTGGAGCGGCCTTTGTGATAGCTCGCGATAAAGTGAAATCATCGTCGGGCGCCTCACTCCTACCACTGACCGCATATACACATGCTGCTCCTGCACCAGAGGGTTCGCCATTGCGCTCCCGAAATTCACACCAATAAAATCGGGTCCCAAAATTTGCACCCCATACGAAAATACCGGCACAATGAGCGCGTTATAGAGGGACATGCACAGCTTAGGGGTAGTAATCTTCTTATCTCGACACAGGGCACTGAGGCCAAACGTGGTCCGTTTTCCTGCTGCTGGTAGTATAGTAGTTTACCGTACACACGTCCTAGTAATGCTCTCAGCTCTCGAAGGTACTAGGGCCCCCAAGCGCCCCCAATGCACTGGGCACTGGGCACTGGGCACATTGAAGCAGTAGTCAGGGAGACGCTATGGTGCTGCCGGTTGGTGGCTGCTGCCATACCGCCCAGATTATAAGGTAATTGCAGTGTCGTTGGTGCTCTGACGTAATCCCTAGCCATGATTCCGATGTGAAGTTGATTACGATGGACAGACAGCGGACAAGCAAAACTGCCCCATCTTGTAAACAGCATTTAGGTTATGCACTCGTCTCTATGCAAGCAGTCGTAGTCGACTAGTGTCATGGGTGCTATCCAGACGGTATATATTGCTTGGCTACTAGGCCTTTTTTGCATCCTTGACCTACCTTGTGGCTCTTAGCCTCTTGGGCCTCTGGCTCGTGTGGGCTCGTTACACCTCTCTGGGTAGCGCAACTGAGGTGCAACACACACACACACACACACACAAAAGGGGTGTAACATACAACAGCAGTAGCAATCCTGCATAAACACGCTACACAACCTCTTCAGGAATGTCAGAGCAGCTGTGGATCAGTAAGGAAGGTTTTTCTTTTTGTGTGTGTGTCTCTCAACAATGTAGTCCAAGGCTGAGCAGTGATGGGCGCATCAGTGTACTCCGCACACGATGAGACAGATGCAGTATTTGGTATTAACACACGTATCGGTCCACCACTGTTGAAAAGGCGGTTCCAACAGCACCATTTTCGCCCTGTTTCACAGGCAGCAGCCGCTCACCAGGAGGCGGACAATCTCATAGCTTGACAAAGCGAGCAACAGCAAGTAATAGTGCATCTTTAGATTCATGTTGCCGAGGAGTACACACGGTCACGTTCCTGCTCAATATCATCTCGCTGATCAGGCACCTGGCCGGGCACGAGACGCACCAGACATCTTTCCGCCTGCAATAATTACATCAGCTGCCACAGCCATGAGATATTAGGCTGTAGCAGCAAGAAAGGCTGTAGCAATAAGAGGGTTGTAGCAGCACTCCTAGGCACAAGGAGAGATGAGTACTGGACTGCACAGAGACCGTACAAGCAGACATATGTACATACGGACACAGCTGGCAGTTCACACCCCCCCCATATAGACAAGACACACCAAAATTTGCTAAACACGGACACACCCAGCACGCACGGCTCTCACTAGGTTTCTTTCCATTCCACCTTCTCCACCACCTCGCTGCCTTCGCCGCCGCCGCTGTTGAATTGATGACGTCCCAAACACCCCCAAGACACCTCACAGCCTCACTACTGCTACTGCTACCGCTGCTGCCGCTCCCTGCCTAAAGCTCTTCACCCTGGCCGCCACCCCGCCATACACCACCACCATAATCTTGATCCCCGGCATGGCTCCCCTCCCCTCCCCTCCCCTCCTGCACGTCCTGCCTAGGCATGCTGCAGGTTTCCAAAGAAGCCCACCATGCACCGCACGTGCTGAAATAAAGAGTCCAACCGCTTCCAACTGTCAGCCACCAGGTTTCGGAGCTTCACAGCGCGGGCTGTCAAGACGGGGCGTGAGGAGATGACGTCACCATGTACGGCCAACACCACGCTAAGAAGTGCCTGGAGGCCGGGAAACGGGGGAAGGAGCGGGAAAAAGGTGAGGGAGAATGACGGGTGTGTTTATGTGTACGACTCCGACTCCCAAACTCCACCCCAGGTAACACCACCCCGCCAGCGCCCCGATACAGTTACCGTTGCTGTTTTCAATTAGACGATATCACATTGCCGTACACACACCCATCCCGTAACGCCCTCCCCAACCCCCCTCACCACCACCTCCTTCCCTCGTCCCCGGTGGAAGACTTCCCCTCACCCCCCAATGGGGGGGTGAGGGCAATACCTTGTCCCCCCCCTTCCCGGCTTTCCCTTCGGATGAAACCATGTACGGCACCGCGACTGATCACCCCTGCCTCGCTAAAGGCAAAAGGCCCACCTGGCAGAGTTCAAAGTCCCTCCGGCACTCCAGGGAGGCTATCAACACATCCAGTAGGGCCGCCACGTCAGCAACCTCCGCCGCCTCGGATAAGCTGCCCTCCAGGACCTGAGGATGCGGACAGACGGACAGAAGTTACTGGAAAGCAAGTATTGTTGTTGCAACCAAACGGCAAAAACCACCATATAACAACCCACCACCACCACCACCACCGTCACACAACAACAAGAACTACTGCTATTACTACTGCCTCTCTTGATAATCTTGGTCAGGTAAAGCGCCGTCCGCCTTCCTTCCATGGCATGAAAAGCACAGCACCACGAAAACCTCAAGTACGGCATCCCAATTTCACCCCCACCAGGCGACCAAGACCCCCCCTCTCCCCCTCCCCACCTGCAGGGCCCGCAGCTCTCTGTCAATCGCGGTCGGGGTCATACTCCGCAACATTGCCATCACAGGGGCGTAGCATTCCATGACACGGCCGCTGCTGCCACTGCTACTGCTGCAGCCGTCCGTGTCGCCCCCAAGCTCCGCCGCCGCCGCCGCCGCTGACAGACGCAGCTGGTGCAGGAAGGGGCTTACGGGGCCGGCAGCAGCGCCGCTGCTACGGCCGCCGCCTCCGCCGCTGCGCTGTAGTCGTAAGACTCGCGATCCGCCGCCTCCGCCAGCTGCTGACGAACCGGATCCTGCCTCCGCGCCCTCCTCCGCTCCCTCAGGATGACCGCCTTCTCCGTCTCCATCTGCCGTACCCGCCGTACCACCCGTTGCCGTTTCGAAGACGGGGTTGGCGGACAGTCCCGGCATTGTGGGCAAGAAGAACGGCGCCGCCTCGGGCTTCTTCGGCGGCTGGATGGGTTTGTTGCGCGCCTTGATAACCTGCGCGCGCGCGTTTTGGGTCAAAGATCAACACAAAACACACACGCACGCAGACACGACACGGCATCACGGGGATTCAGCACATATATCAATACCACGTACCTACATACCACCATACATACATAGCTACATACATACATACATACATACACACGCAGGCTGTTCACCTCAATCTTGGTGAGGCTGTCCCAGTGGGCTCGGGGCAACAAACTCATGGTCACCAAGTCGGGGGCCAGCGGCAGTGGGGAACCGGAAACCGGGTCTCGGAGCTCGTACGGCAGGTGTACGAGCTGAGAGGCAGCAGCGGCGGCGGCCGCAGCCGTCGCGGTATCTCCCCGGCGAGTCGCGGAATCCGCCTTTTCCTGAAGGTGAAGAGCAGCAACAGCATGACGAGGGCCGGGGTGTGAGGTGGATGGGGTGGGGTGATGCAGAAGTAAAAAACAGACACTACAGTTGCCGACATTGACGCAACCCAGAGAAAGATCCAAAGAAAGATCCAAAGATTGAAAACGTTTAAAGAGGTGCAGAACTATATGGCTGATAGGTGGGGGTGGCGGTGGGGTTGGGGGCGGAGGTAGATGAGCTCACCCACCCTCACCAAATCACTTCATCAGACAGCGGCAAGAGGCCCAATTTGCCTAACCACACCAACCAAAACTGCCAATCAACTTGCAAAACAAATACACGCACACGGCCTAAGCACCTACACTTACACCTACGCACACCTCATACCCTAAGGCCCCCTTCCCCGCCCCCAAGCCCCCGTAGTAAAACCCACCTCATCGCTCGAACATCCGCCCTCGTCCTCCGCGTCCTCCATACCCGCGTCCTCTGCAGCCTCATCATCGACAACCTCATCTGCCACCCCACGACCAGTTGTACGACGACCATCACTAATGGTGGGAAGAGCAGTACGTACGACAGGTACGGGTTTGTCGCTGTGGGGTATGGCGGTGGGGGAACCGAACAGCGCCTGGGAAAGGGAGAGGAGGGGGGAGAGGGGAGGGGCAGGGAAGGCGGGGAGGGAGCCGTGAAACACATCCGGCACTCTGGGGGGTTGACAACGCGCGCACGGAGGGAAGCGCCATCAAGGGACAGGAGCTCTCAGAAAATGTGAGCTATGAGGCAGCAGCGCGTTGCCGACATACATACATGCATACCACGAGGCATGTCCATTCAATCTTGACACCCTGCACATACACCCCAAACACCTACCCACCTGATTTGACCACAAGTAAATTCCCCTCCTGTTCACATGTGTGGTGGCCAACAAGTCCAGGGAGGGACTCAAACTCAAGCTGGTGACGGGGGAGCCCAGCTTCATGACCTGGGGAAAGGAGGGGGGGAGGGGGGGAAAGACGAACCACGTGAACGAGTGTGAAGCTGCTGCCAAGGAAAGAATGTACAAGACGTAGAACTGACCAGAAGGCGGTTTTGAAGGAGGCGACCTCGGGATGATGTAATGATGACGACCGCGGAAACCTACCTACCTGCCTACCTAGCCACCAAGACTAAAGTAGAGGTAGGTGTCAAGGCGGGAAAAAAGTAGTGCTGACGTAAGCTGGAATAAAACATATTTGCCGCCGGCCTGGCGGCAGCATTGACGAAATTGGAGCAAAGCTGGCTGATAAGCTGGTGATAAGCTGCTGGTGACATGCAAGTGCTCCTCCCAACCCCCCAAACACGCGACCGACCCGACCGACCCGACCGACCCGACCGACCCAACTATCCTAATCCGGCCAGCCGACCGACGCGAACGCGATACACCGACAAAGCTCGAACCAATTTGACATCTACATCCACCGCGACAGACAGACAGACAATGAGCGGATCTGGGCCGCACATACATACATACAGGTGGCTGGAGAAGTTAAGGCCTGACTTCTGCTCCCGGAGGTTCCGGGTTCAAATCCGCCTGCCGACCCCTCGGTGTGTGAGGGGTGTTGAATTGGGAGGTGGCCCCCCATCTTGTGGACGGTGTAGGACGTGATTATAGCAATATGCGAGCTGACCAGGAATTAAGTTGAGGCGCCGTTGATCCGCTAGGTTTGGTTGGATGCTGGTGGTGAGTTGCTGAACCCAACGAATACATTCTGAAGTCGGATGGGGTGAACGGATTAGGGCGCCCCTCTAGCAGGGGAGAGCAGGGAACTGCCTCGGGAAAGGGGGCCGCTGGTGAAGCTGTACCACCCTGTAACATCATACATACATACATACATACATACATACATACATGCAGCCCGCCCTCCCACCTGCAGGCACTGAGCCGCGGGTACGTCCCACACCCTCAAAGTCCCGTCCATAGCGGCGCTCAACAGCCACTTGCTGTCCGAGGAGAGCAGCAGACTCGTAACGCGGTCACTGAGGGGGACGGGGGGGAGGGAGAGGGAGGGGTAGACTCAGGGGAGGGGTAGAGGGGAGGGGTAGAGGGAGGGGTAGACTCGAGGGAGGGGTAGAGGGAGGGGTAGACTCGAGGGAGGGGAGGGGAGGGGTAGAGGGGAGGGGAGGGGGACTCGCGAGGATATACGGGAGATCCGGAGCTTTAAATTTGAGGCACCGAGAAAGGACGTACGGTGTCGTAACACGGATGGACAAGGTTCACGTGTACGGCGTAACGTAATCCGTGTCCACGCGAGCAGCCCGTCCTTGCCACAGAATGAAAACGTTTGCCGTGATAGACCCTTTTCTTCTGCCCGCGCCCTCGCTCGCTGTTGCATCCACCATCTCGACAAGCTCCGAAACCACCACCACGACCACACCCGAGTCCATTTTCAGACGCAGGCGGCATCTCCTATATAACCCCAACCCCCGGCCCCGCCCCCACACACACAGCCCCGCCACAACCGAACTACCTGTGTCCACGGAAACGTCGTACAAGCCGCGGCACCTCAATGTCGTACATTCGCAGCGACGCATCCGCCATCGCCACCGCCGCCAGGCCCGTGACGGGGTGCAGTACAAGTCGTACTGCTGGGCCCCCCAGGGCCACTTCCGCCACCAAGGTGCAGGTTCGGAAATCCCAAATCCGCAACATGCCGTCCAAACCCGCAGAGACAAGTCGCCGGTTCGATCCCTCCGCGGCGCAACCTACCACCGCTCCGTTATGAGCCGGGAGGGGCCCAGCCGATACTGCTGTGGGGTTGCGGGGTTTGCGGGGGTTGTGATTTTGGGTTTAGAAGCTATCGGAGCGGGGGGTGGACCATGTCCTTTTAAATGTTTTTGGATCGCTACGTTACCCAGTTTCAGAAGTTCGGGTGTATGTATGTATGTATGTATGTATGTATGTATGTATGTATGTATGTATGTATGTACGCATGTACGTATGTACGTACGTATGTATGTATGTATGTACGTATGTACCTCGACGGTTTCCCCTGCCCCCCACCCTGCGCTCACCTCTGCCCCCCGGCGTCGCCGCCGATCCCTTCCCTCCGGTGCGTAGTTGCTGCTGCTGCTGCGGCGGCGGCGGCTGTTGCCCCTCCTTGCCAGCTTCCCCCGCACCCGCCCCCCGCCCCCGCAGGTAGCAACCCCGGTGCAGGCCGCTCTGCATATTGTATCGGTCCAATCGCCCCGCGGCACTGCCCACAAAGCCAAAGTTGCCGCACTGACTCAGAGCGACGGAGGTGACGGGGGCGGCAGGGGTGCCGTACAGCTCCTGACGTCAGCAGGAAGGTGAGGGGAAGTTGGGAAGGAGTTAAGGGGGAACGCGAGGGGAAATAAGTCATCGGACATTTCCGGAACAGCTGTACAACAGTAAAACACACACAGCAAAATGACACGTAGGTACCACACCGCACCACAGCGGCACGGATACCCTGTGTGGCTCTGATACGGCCTCGCGCGTGACCATATAAGAGTAATCTTTAACCCCCCTCCCCTCCTCCCCTTCCCAACGCATTCTGGATCTCCCTCTCCCGCTCCCCTCCCCTCGTCGCCCGACTTGTGTGTCTCTCTTCCCCCCCTCTCCCTCCCCTCAGCTCACCTCCCCCGGGGGCTCCAGCACGTGGTCCCCCCGACTGAAGTGCGCCAGCCTCCACGTGTAGGCCGCCGGGTCGCCCTCGTGCGCGGTGATGACGTTGGCCCAGTCCCGCTCGCGAACCTGGACCGGTGGAGGGGGACGGGAGGGGGGGGAGG